CCCCCTCCTCCTCAAAATTTTTGCGATGAGTGTCTCGAATCATTTGAGAATTTGCTGGAAGCCCGAAGCACCTCGAGCTGGCACACGACATGACTTGCAATAGTCATTCTATCTATTGCCATACAATATTTCTCACCGCGGAAAGCTACCAAAAACCTTTGCTGAAGAAGCACGCCCTGCCAGTTTGGGACGGCATTGAGACAAGCTCTTCCGCTGCCCCGATGGAAAGCACTTTCAGAGGTAAATTGCGCCGATACTATCTCAAAGTTGGTGAAAAAGAAATGGATTTGCTTCAAGTCATAATGGAAAACAAGGAGGAAACAGATGCTCTCATACTGGAAAGGGTCAAAGAGAGTCCGAACAATGTGCAATTCCTTTTGGGAGTCGGGATAATCAAAATTTCCACTGTGCAGAACGGGGACACTGGAAAACTCTGAAGGACCATGCTATTTTTAAACACTAGGACATTGACCGTGTACTTCGAGGGAATACCTGGGGATCAATACTTGGAACTGATCAAACATATGGTCAACCAAGTCAGTTTGTTCTCTTCTCACGGTATCGGATGGATTATTGATCGACTTGAAAAACTGCAAATCAGTTTCGCGGTTTTCTCGCCAATAAGAGAAGGATCCTACCTCGAGCTTTCTGATGCACTCAGCGCTGCTTCTACTCTGCTCACAAACATCAACACTAAAGATGATGACCGCTGTTTTCTTTAGTTCTTTGTTGCAGCATATGACAACGTGAATGAGCCCGCCCTTTACCCCACATCTAGACGGTGGCTGGAGAAAATCAAAGTCTCAACCTATGATCTGGACAAAGAAGGAACTGTGAAAATCAATGGGGAATACGAAATTCCAATGGGTCTGATGGATATGGACAGATTTGAAAGACTTAACAGTTGTCAAATCATCGTCTTTTGGTAAGCAATACGTAATAACATAATATATTATTGGCCTTTTCAAACCCCCTTTATTTTTCACGCCAAAACTAGATATGAAATTGATGTTTTTCTGATCAGGTTCAACAATGCCGAATGGTTACCCATAAGAGTGTCGAGCAGAAATACTACTAGCCTGGTTGTAGACTTATTGCTGCTGACAGATGGATCAAAATATCACTACGTGTTGATAAGTCATCTTCAGAAACTGGTCGAGTACGTGCGTTAAAAAGTACACCGATTCCAATCTGCGATTTGCCGCAAATGTTTCCATACTTGCGCTTCATTCGAAACTCTAAGAAGACATCAAGAACTATGCTACCAAGACGAAGATGTCGTCATAACAGTGCCCAAGCCAAGAAAAGATGACCACATTTTTTAAAACTTTAAGAGCGCGTTGGTACGTACCCAGAGTAATCTACTTTGATTTGAAGTCACTGCTTTTACCAGTATGCGAAACGCAACTTGATCTGCAAAATTCTAGCACGCAAACAATTGAAATCAATCAACCTTGTGGCTACGCATTAGCAGAAATCGAATTTGGGAAAAATAGATCTGTTAAAGTTTGAGCCTAAAAGAAGGACCGAAATTTGATGTAAGAATTTATTAGCTCCCTCGAATCCTTATCGAGACAAATTTACGTAGAAAAAATGAAAAATTTCACTTTCACCGGGGTAACACACCAAGAGTGGGAAGATGCTTTGGTTTGTTGGATTTGTGAGAACGATTTTTCCGACAATGATCAAGTGGTACTCGATCAATGTCATTACACCGACAAGTTCCTGGGTTGGGCACATAATGAGTGTATCATTAATGAAGAAAAGTTTATTCTAATGGAGAACTATTTTGAAAAACTCGGCCACTCCCCTGAGAAAGTCATTATGTTGAAAGAGAAAGGGCATTACCCCTACTCATACTTCAACTCAATCGAAAAATTCCGAGAAACTCGACTTGCCCCGCGAGCAATATAGAAAAAAGTCTAACAGGAGGAGTGATTGTTACAAGAACCGGGTACAATCATGCCTTAAAAGTTTTCACCGAACTGAAGTGTGGTTCACTTGGTGATTACCATGACTTGTACTTGACTACAGATGCGCTTTTACTTGTCTCCGTTTTCGAAGCTTTTCGTGGAATTTGCTATACGGGCTGGATTGCGCCTGTTATTTCACGACAAGTAACCTTTCCGGGGACGCTTTTCTAAAAGTTTGTAAGCCCGAAGTGAAACCCTTAACTGACCGTAAATATCTGAACCTTGTGCAGCGAATGATACGAGGAGGCATTTCGTCGGTTTACGCGCGCCGATTTTATAAAGCAAACAATAAATACCAAGACAATTTTTCGCCCTCAGAACCTTCAAGCTACATCCTCAACATTGATGCAAACAATTTGTACGAGATAATGAATCACTGCTCTTTGACATTAAACGATTTTTCAATAGTTGGAAAAAGTCTGGAAGACATACTGCTTACCAGCGAAACTTCAGAGTGGGTTATATAGTTGAAGTAATTTTGACCATACCCGAAGAGCTTCACGATTTCTTTGCTGATTACCCCCCTGCCCCCTCTCGTGAAGTAGTGGACATCGGTGAAATGAGCAAGTCGACATGTTGAGAAAATTGGGAATCACCACGCTGCCAAAAGTGCTAAAGCTTCTACAGACCTTGCATCCTAAAGAAGGTTATGTTTTGCATTACCTTACCTCGAAACTGTACTACGAGCTGGGAATGAAAATAACTCACCTCGAAAAAGTTCTTCAGTTCCGCCAAAGTCACTGAATGGCATCCATTGTAGAACTCAACACCCGCCTACGAAAAACCGCGGTAAATAAATTCCAGGAAAACTTTTACAAGCTATTTGTTAATTCAGGATTCGGTGAGACAATGGAGTCCAAATTCGGAAGAAAGAAGCTAGAGATTGTAAGGAATGAGAGAAAAATTTTTAAAAAACAGCTCTGAGCACAATGAAGAGCTTTCAAATCATTGACGATCAGTTTTTCAGTAACAAAAATATTGTGGAACAAACCTATCTGATAGTTGGTGCAACCATACTAGACTTCGCCAAGCGTTTCATCTTTCAGTTTCAATATCAATAAATGAAACCGAATCTAAACTGGGAACTCCTTTGCTCAGACACGGATAGTTTTATTTATGCCATAAAAAACGACGACGTTTACCGAGACTTAGATAAAACAAAAGCTGATTTCGACATTTCAAATTATGATGAGGATCATTTCTTGTTCGAGGATACCAAGGAGAAAGTTGTGCTGAAGTTCAAAGACGAGACTGGTGGGAAGCCGATCAGAGAATTTATCGCCCCAAAACTGAAACTATATTCCTTCGTCCTTAATGGTAAATAAAAATTCAAACTTAAGCCACAATTCTACCCCAATTCCTACTTTTTACAGAACAAAATTACCATCACCAACCTCCCCCCCTTAATTTGTTGCATCCAACAATGGACATTTAGTTGATTTAGGCAACATTATACAATGTTGCCTAAACGTTGATTTATCCGTCAACATATTCCTCCGTTTTTCCCCTTTTTGGAGCCATAATTCAGAGTCTTCTTCTATTTTTTGGTAAAATGGATCAAAGTTTATTCGGTATAAATAGAGTTGCTGAAGTGAAATGAAACTATCCCTGAGTTGTAGAAAAGAATATTAATTTTGCTTCTGTTTAGGAGGCAATCAAAAATTGAGGGACAAAGGGATAAAACGGAGTGCACAGAGAGAACTGGTCCATCAAATCTTCAGGGACACATTATTCACTGGGAAAACAAAGATAGTTTCGAAAGGTCACACCAATATGACCGTGAAACAAAACAAACTTGCATTATCCTTCAAAACGTTTTCTCCTGTTCGACGGAATTTCGAAACGTTTTCTCCTGTTCGACGGAATTTCGACAGTGCCCTTTGGCCATAAAGCCGCCGAAGAAAATGCATTTCTAGAAGAAATTTACATGGAAACCGAGTGGGCCAACTCATACAAGGAAACTGATAACAGTTCGCCCGATTTTCAACGTCTGGATTGGGGATTTTTACAGCGGCCCTACTCAGAAACAGAGCTTCTAGTAGCCGAGTCCGTGAACGTCCACCTACAAATAACCCATTTATTTTCTCTGAAGCATCAGAAGAACGACCATCCAAAAAACAGCGCAAATAAATTCTGAAACATATATCTTCAGATGATTTTTACTGTTCGTCCTTTTTATAGTTCGACTTGTATATGTTTTGGTTTTTACCAATTTACAACTAATAAAATACTCGTATTGAGCTCAATCACTGTTTTAACATAAATAGCTTCAGGCAAATAAACTAGTTGTCGCAAACCAAGTGTTAAATCAAACAAATGTGTGAAATCTTTAGGCTCGTTTTCAATAACAAACTTTTATTAGCATGAAAAATCTTCGACGAAAAGAAAGAAAGCCAGGAAATGATATCCACGTGAAACTAGGACGAAAAAAAATTCAGGAATTAGGACGATTAACTTTAATTATCGCGCGAAAAGGGACCGCTTTAAAAGGACCTAGAAGGAAAAATTGTATCGCGTCCCGGCTGTTAAGCTCAGCTGAACAAGATCCTAATGAGGGGGTCTTTTTCTTTAGGGGTGGGAACTTGCGTTCATTTACAAAATCTAGAATAGGGGTCCTCCAAAAAATTACGGACCCTTTTCCTAGGATTTTGCTTTACGTGAGGACCCCCCTTAGGAAAGACTCCTCCTTAGGATACGGGACACGATATAGTACTACTGAGCACAGTAAAAACATACCTAGAGCACGGTCGTAACATACCTCGAGCACGATTGAAACATACCTCGAGTACGTTCACTGACTGCCCAGCGATATTTGCGAGTCAAAAATAAAAACTTTTTAAAAATGTTTTTGACTCAAATTGCAAACCAGTGTTCCAAAAAACGGGTAAAATAACTCAAAAATAGCTTATCTCTACAAAGCATTTAGTTTGAAAATACCACTAATCATATCATTCTGATAAGAAATCATCATGAGATAATAGACGAAAACCAAAGCATATCTTGCTTGGGACGAGCAAATTTCTCTTTTTTTTCGGCCCTGCATAAGCATTTTTTCCGTTGATAAAGTGTATGAATTGGTTTTTTTCTCATTAATGGAATCGTATGACTAATCTTTTTTTTCAAGATACAAGTATTTTTTTAGGTCGAACATATCTTTTTTGGGTCGAGCATATATGTTGCGGTCGAACACAGTCGAAACAAAGCTAAATAAATTTGCTGGTCATCGGAATTGTATGACCAGCATTCTTCTCAAGTCCATCAATTTTTGATATTTTTGATGAAATTTTTAAAAATCAATGGAGTTGTGCTCAGAACAAATAATCATCAGAAAAAAACAGTAAGATAAGTTTCAAATTTTTCTGATGATTATCAGTCTAAAAGCAATTTTAGACAATCAAATAAAGTATTTTAAATCACCTCACTGAGCGGTTATGAATCAATAAAATAAACAAGCAATAATCAGTTTTGATCTAAAAATAAAACAAAAATTTCAAAATTTCACTATTTATGATTTCATTAACAAAAAAAAATTATCGAGTGAAAAACAGAAAATAGAATATTTGTGACAGTTGAAGAAAACCCTAGGAGTCAAATAAAGAATTGGGATGAAAAACAGCCTCACATTCAGTTTTTTCGAGCAACAAAACTCATTTTTGTTTTATAATTATCAGTTTTCTAGCAATTGCAGGCAATCAATTGTAATATTTTGTTCATTGAGTCGGTAGTTATTTTCGAAATTTTTGTCGAGTACGGTCGAAATTAATTTTTTATTGGGTCGAGCACATATTTTTTTGTCCGAAATTGTCCGATACAAAATTGTCCGATACAAAATAGTCTGGAAAAGTATAAAATTGAACAAAAAACAGTCAGATACGAAGCAGCCTGAAAAATAATCCAAGTAAAATTTGTTTTAAAAGTCGGTAGGCCGAGAATTGATTGACCTTTGTTCAAAAAACATGAAAAACAAAATAGTGACCGCCGCAGTCGCGCCAACGTGTTGCGAGCTTGCCAACAGAGGGTAGGACTTATTACAAAATTTAGAGCCGGTTATTGCCGGACTGTTTTGTGTTGGACTGTTTTATTTCTTCATTACATGATTTTCCCGACTATTTTGTATTGGACTGTTTTTTATTGGACTGTTTTGTATATGGACCAATTTTCGGTCGAGAAACGGTCAAAACATATTTTATATAAGTCGAGCATTGTCGAGCATAGAGTTTTTGTCGAGCATGATTGAAACATATCTTTTTTGAGTTGAACCTGGTCGAGCACGTTTTTTTTTGTTCGAGCACGGTCGAAACATATCTTGCTTGGGTCGAGCACGGTCGAGCATAATTATTTCGTTCGAGCACGGTCGAAACAACCAATTTTGGCCGAAACGGTCGAAACATAGAGTGAGCACGAAACATAGCTATTGCCCTTGTAAGCGAAGAAGAAAGAAGAAACAAACGAAGAAGCAAGCGAAGAAGGTTTCCAGAAACAATTAAAGGTTCCAAAGGAGAAAGTGCGGATTTATTGTAGAAGAAGCATCTAAATTGTAAACGCAGCAAGTATAGAAAAATTAGCCACTAATAATCTCTGTTACCTCTCAATTCCCGTAGTGATCATCTTGTGAGTTTCTCCTGTGCTTGCTTTTTGAACTTCCTGTTCCTCCAATGCTCCTCCTTGCAGCTCCTCCTTGTTGGTACCCCCCTCCCCCTCGTTGACATGTCCAGTGGTACCAACGTAGCTCATCTCTAGTGACTTCTAGGGCAGCAACTTGCTTTGCTGCCCTCTGATTTTCCACAACTGTATAGCTGTGGAGTCTATTGAGAAAAAAATCGATTGAATTTTAACCGTTGATTTTTCTAATAAAATGCTAAACTATTTAGCTTTATATAATTTAATTTAGCTACTAAAATATTAATGGGAGGTTAACTGAGTTTAAATGTACGCTCTGACAACAGTGTTCATTGGTCATACAGGGGTTTTTCATGGAAATTTTTTGTTACTTGTGGGAAACTGATTATTGATTTGATAACTGACGTCTAAAAAAGGTTTATGCCATGCTCATCGCAGGAACTGTCGAACTTTTGTGTTACTAACCTTGCTTAAGGGAATGAAGCTGCCCGCTTGTTTTTTTTTGGCTGACGCGACAAACAACAAGTACAGATCTGTGATAAATTGCAAAAGTAAATCAATAGTTTGGCTTCGAGTTTGTTATATAACGAAAGAAACGTCTAGCTGTAAGATCTGCGAGCTTGTTTTAGTAACAAAACTACCACGTATAGTAATCGAAAATGTTATTTTTTATCATGCACGTGCTTTGAAAATATAAAGCGTTTAAACTAGACTTAGTTGCGTTTCGTATTCGAAACTAATTAACCAAAAGTTTTAAAACTACCATTGTGCAGTTTTGTGCCATTGGATATAACAACTAGCAAGAGGTAAGAAAACAGTTTTGGTTTTAAAAAAATTTGTGAGACGACAAATCGTTATATACGATTTCTCAATATTTATAGTAGATAGCTATAATAATAATTTAGGATAAACTTTTACAGTTTTCTTCCAACCGGGCAGTAAGCTTAGGTTATTCGTTTTAAAAAGTTTATTGGTTTTTCAAGTTTGATGGGTCTTATGAAAGTGACTCCGTTGGATCTGTTTGTTCGGTATGTTCATCCAACTGGGAGGTTTGCTTTTTTGCAGATAAATATTTTGTAGGAACATACAGTTTTTGTTGATGAAGGAGGGATTTTGTTATGGAGTACAGTTTCCGTATGGGATCATAAGTTTCCAATTTGAAGCGATTCATTAGAGCATTCAGAGCATAATTTAGCTCCAAATCAAATCCTGGGTTGGATATTGATGTAATGTTGCGTTCTTTGACCAACTGAATATCTATTTTACTATTTTAATCAGTAGGTTGTAAGGGCTGTCTCTTAACTGTCATCTAGTGTGTGGATTCTGGCACCGACGATTTAGCCGATAGTAGCTTATGGCGTCTAACTACTTGGGTTTGTTTCTCAATGCGAGAATCAGGAGCCAGGCGTAGAGAGCTTTTAGAGAATAATGTTGGATTTTGTTCTCACAGACAAGGGTTGATGTGGTTGAGAGAAAGTTGTTGGAATGAATTTGAGTAATTCCAGCTTTTATTTATACTTTATTGGGAAATCTTCTCCCACTTTGTCGTAGCGAACAAGACTTGATTTCTTAACTTCGTTATTTCTCGCGAATGTTAATCGTACTTTCATATTTTACGAGAAGAGTCGTTGGTGCATCATTGGAGTTCTACCACTAAGTCGTAGCTAATAAGATTTTATTTCTTAATTTCGTCATCTCTCGTGAAAATTAATCATACATTTATGTTTTACGAGAAGGCCGTTGTTTTGAGGCCATTGTTGTAGTAGGGGCCGTAGTAGGAGTGGGAGTGGAAAAATTGCTAGTTGAGCTGATATTGGTGGTTGAGATGCAGTGGATAGATGGTTGAAAAAAGGGAGAGAACATCCTCAAAGCTTTGCAAGTCATTATCTAGTGTGGAGTCGATATATGGCTTCAGATCATCCCTCGGTATATCCTAGAAAAAGTAGTATAATAATTAGAATGGGGCGGTAGGATTTTCTAAGTTTTGATTTCTGAGATAAAAAACTGTTAGTTGAATGTGAGGATACACATGATACTGGTTGATATTGTCAACTTCTTCCAATAGAGGTGACTACACTTTATGTCGATGTTGTCTAGTTTTTCATTTTGTTTTCATCCTGAGTAAAAGTTGAGATTACTGTAGAATTGAAGCCTATCTTACACGAAGCGGCAAAGTGGTTTTCTGAATATTTCGGACTTTTATTATAAACACTAGACAATCCAGTATAAACTTCACGAAAAGGAATGAGGAGAAGACTATTCTACTTTCTTGCTAAAACTTCTCAGAATTGTTTTTTCCCGAATATACTGGTGTATTCATTTTTCCAAAATTACGAAGAAATGAAATAGTCTAAATATGTAGTTTGAGTAGAGCCTAATGGGCTACATGAGTTCGAGAAAAAAAATCATGGGGCATTTAGAAAGGATCTAGATAAATTTTGCAGTGTTGCTTTCATTTCTGAATTATAAAAAATCGTTTTCCATAATTTTGCATCTGAGCATTAGTATAAAGGGAAGCACCTTGACTGGATGCTGAAGAATGTTTATTTTGCTGATTATCTTTTTTGGCTCAAAGAGATATGGTTCTGTAGCCCTTATTATTTGGATTTTATTTAGGTCCAGGAATTATCATCATTAAAATCTAGTTGGAAAAAAAATCTAAAAGTTCATCGGAACTATATTGTTTGTCTGCGGACTGAAAATTTTGCCGAATTGATCGATCGAAAAATCGAAAGTTTTCCTTACACATTATAGGAATGCGATTATAGCATTGATCCATTAGTTGTAAAAGTGAATAAAATTTTGGACAATGTTAGACCATTTTTTTGGTCTCCAAGAACATACAACGATTGATTTTGAGTGAGAATATAGCGAGCCAAGCGTGTTCTCAAGTGAAAGCTTTATTGTTTTTAAGATTGAGGAGCATTCCAGCTCAAATTATTTTGTTAAGCTAAAAGAAAGATTATATTTCAGTTTGGTGCCTATATGAGCTTCATAGTCAATTTGACTAGTTAAAATTTAAAATGGCGCCGATCGCTCACTTATTGTGACAAAAGTGAAATTTGATTTGTCGGATTTATGAACAGTTACCGTTTCTTTCTGGGGTTGGTTCAACTTGGATTCCGGTATCCATATATAACCTTTCGGTATATGCGAGAAAAACTGAATCATATGGAGTTGGACACACTGTTCTGGGATGACCACAAAGAGCTTGCGATTCATTCATTGCCAGTAGCACAATTTTGTGAGTATCCCTTGTGTGAGTAGAGTGAAAAAAAATCCAGAATAATCTTTGATTTTATTGTATGATTCTTGATTTCAAAATCGTCTTAGCCTGAACTCTATTTAAAACAGTAAAAATACAATTTTTGGTTTCTTCTCTAGAATAGGCAAATGCATCTAAGGATGTAGTTTCACATATGTTATCAGACACAGGACAGGGCAAAAGAATGCTTTGCCATTTGTTGGCTGTTCCATCTTTAATCTTAACAGTTAAAGTAACTTTTTGCATATAAGTATTCAAAGTGTCTAGTTTGATCCATGAACGGCCATAACCTTCATTATGATTTTTGCCGTCAATTTTGCCAGCATGGGCGTTAGTTATTGTTTTAACATTTGAAAGAATTATTTATAACATTAGCAGAGCCTAAGTTAAGTTAGCATCTTTCAAAATTGTAAGCAGTTTCTCGAAAACTACCGTAGGCTAAGTAAAAATAACCTCTTTCGCCTCTCTATATTTTACCTTGATCGGCTGATAAATGCAGATCAGTGGTGATTACAGTTTTTCGATGATCAATGCCACTCGAATGAAACGAACCGTAGAAAAAACGCATTGATTGATGTTTATTCTGGCACATAGTCGCATTTACCTTAGTGCAATATTGTATCTGATGAAGAGCAGCTTAAGCATGGGTTCCTTTTTTTGTTTGAATTTGGCAGGACGCAACTTTTTAGAAAGAGAACATTTTGTTAGAAGTCAATGACTGACAATCAAAGTGAGCGAACCGGAGACTGTTTGTATTTTTTGCATACTGTTGCTTTTTCGAATCAAAAGCTGAGGTTTTATTTAAAAAGATCAGTAGAAGTAACAGATCATTTTAATCAATTAATTGGTAAACTTATTTTTTGGTGTTTGTGTAACGAAATAGAAAGTATTCAAAATAAGCAAAACCGGGAGAGTAAAAAAATCGGATATTGATCAATCAGTTCATCTTCTTCGAGGTGATTGTTACGATTTGTTTTTAATCGGATGTTTTTTCATATGAGGAATCTGAAATAAATTCAATTTTTTTGTTGAGAAGATGTGCAGAAAAGTTATTAGCTGAGGAGAGGAAGTCAAAAAGCAAAATATTAAAGTGAGCCAGAAAGAATTACTGGATATCAATTAGGTTTTGAAGGCTCTTGGTACTTTTTTGCAAGTCTAAGCTGATTTTCATCGTTGTCATTCGTAGTAAATCGGAGATGACTTCTTTTAAAGTAGTTTTTTTGACACTCGTCTCTAAGGTCGTTGTTTTTCCGCTCATTTATGCTGTTGTTAATCTGTAACGGCTATAGTTTTTTTTCGTTTATGCTATTGTAAAAAATGACAAGGGCATTCCCCTTCCCGATTGGAGGAGAGTAAGAAATTATTAATATCTCTTCAAAACAGAGAAGTGAAAGCAAAAACATTCATTGTTTTGCTCACTGTGAAAAATTTTGTAGTACGATTGTTCCGTCTAAGTATGTCAGATTGATAGAGTGATCGAGACAGGGAATATTGTTTTGTTTTAATAAATTGGAGTGGCGGCAGCTACAGTCCTGCAACTGACAATGAGGCGTCTGAAATAAATTATTTTTTTTGTTGAAGAAATCAGAAGACGTACAGAAGATTTAGTAGCGGAGGAGATGAGGTCAAAATGCAGGTCAGAATATTAAACTGAGCCAGAAAAAGTAACTGGGTATCAATTGGCCTTTGAAGGCTGTTGGAATTTTATGCAAATCTAAGCTGTACTTGGCCGTTGTTATTCGATGTAATCGGGGGGTGACTCGTTTTAAAGTCGTATTTTTGTAGGCACTCGTCTTTAAGGTCGTAGTTTTTCCGCTTGTTTATGCTGTTGTTAAGCTGTAACGGCTATAGTTTTTTTTGTTTATGCGGTGGTGAAAAATGACAATTGCAATCCCTTTCACGATTGGGGGAGAGTAAAATATGAATAGCATCTCTTTTTCAAAACAGAGAGCTGAAAGCAATATCATTGTTTTGCTCACTGTTCAAATTTTTTAAAATAATTTCTGAGATCCATAAAATATGAGTTGAATCAAGTCAGAAAAACGTTTAGTCGGTTTCCTGGAACCCATGCAAAAGTTAAGAGAGGAGCTGTGTTTTACCCAAGAAGAGATCTTGGAGGACGAGGAGCTTGAGAGTTAGTGCTTACTAAGGGCTGGTGGAGAGGGAAGTCAGTTTAACCCCATGGGAGATGACGCTCTGGATGGTTAATAGCTTTATCTTGAGCTATATTTGTAAAAATTTGATGAAAAATTTTTGCTGGGCTCAATCCAGAATTATTCATAAACCAGAAGTTTTAAAAATCCATGGAAAAGGCTAAAGGCGAAATTGGTCTCAGTTGAGACAATGGACCAGTTGTCCTCAATTCTGGGACAGGATGTAAACTTTGTTGGATACATTTTTCGAAAGTAATGTTAAGAAAAGTTATACAGAAGTGTTTATGGATAAATATAGTTCTGTTTTAGTTTTAAGAGAATTATTTCAAGTAACCGGAGTCAGAAATGGAAAATGAAGAAAAAGTTGGGCTAGAAATTATGTTAAAAG